TTACTCATGTTATTCTTTTACGCGCTAATTTATATGATGCCGCTATACCTTAATTTATTTAACGCATTTTTATATATGAACATATAATGCTTCCTCTAATAAATGTTTACGTCGGCATAATATAAAATTATATTAATAGTAAGTAGGACTCGAGGTAAGTATGGCTCGGAAGATTGTAATAATCGGGAGCAAAATATCATAGATATACACATATGCTTAAACTAGTGAAATAAGGTAATCAAGGCGCCTCTTAGCCGGCAAACATACAAAGGTTAGAGCTTTTCATGGAAATACAGAAATTAAATATTAATTAGATATTTACTACACAGTGGCGAAAAAATGGTAAAGACCAAGACATACCTGCACTATTGTCAGTTTATGCTGTGGCTTGCGTTTATCTATCGGATAAATCTGATCTGTGTTGATGAAAAATTCTTTCATAAACGTCACGCCTGTCATTATGTTGTCCAGATTTTCTTGACCATACCGAAAGGCACATTGGATCCGCGCATAAATCTTGCGACCCTTTACATAAGCCTGATCCATAGTGATCACGCCATCGATGGGATCCACAGTTGTCAGATCATCGAATATGTCCCGTCTGCCAAGATAAACTACAATCTTGTTGTTGGGGCTGGCCTTTTTGAAGACACTCCTCTTCATCGACATGCTGACAGGTCCAAAATCTATTCAGTGAGAGATTTTGGTCAATTACAAATGAATTGTGTGCAGTTTTCAAGAAAGTGTGCCTAATGTTCCAGTACAAATGGAAGAGTGCGAACTACGCGGCTATGCTGCAAAAAATGAAAGATGAAAAATCGTACTCAGTTTACAGTAATTATATTTTGTGAAGGGGATAAGATACTTTTTGATGCAATTGTGTCAATTTAGTAAGATGGTCTTATTTATATAAGTGCTAAGCTACGGCTATCGTTTATATATTTATGAAAATAGGAAATCTTCCAAAAGATATCACTTTCATCTCTGTGATATAGAAATAGGGAAAGAAAAATCCGAGCGAATGGACTAAGG